CGCGCACACACACACACACACACACACACACACACACACACACACACACACACACACACACACACACACACACACACACACACACACACACACACACAAACAACCATTCCTACTGTGGAAAACATGGAACATGATGTTTGCTTCAGGCCCTGGACCAGAAATAAACACCTAAAAATACAAAAATAGTTTTGTTTTATCTGCACAACAATAAACCAAGATGGTCAATTTTAATTAAAACAATAAAGCTGTCAGTTTTGTTTTTCTTTTCTCTTCTTTATTTATTTTTTGGAAATGATTGACCGAATCATTGTCGATCCAAAACCTAAAAATTGGGTTTAAAGAAAAAAACATCCAATTTTCAGAAAAAAAGAACAGGAGTTGGGTCTTCCTTTGTAAGCACTTGCTGTTTTTGGCGATATTTAATATATATTAATTATAAGTTTTCAGCCATAACTAATTAATAAATAAATTAAAAGCAGATTTGCACCAAAGATGGCAGAATTGTGACTTCTTTGTTTACGTATCCTCCTTTATCAATCTGCAGACCTTCCTACTGATCACCAATCAGAAAAGACTCAGTTACTACAGATGAAAACATCGACACTCTGCATTTATTTATTCTGTGAGAAATGTTTATTATGGAAAGTTTTTGTGTGCACAACCTGAAAGCAGTCGTTCATCTTTCTAAATCATGCCTGAGGTTTTTTTTTGTCTGTGATGCTTTAAAATCTACCCATAAATGGCGGCGGCGGCGGCCATTGTTGCTGCCATGAACAGAGTGACGTCAGTGTTCTTCCTCTGTGCACCCGGGTCACTTCCGGGTCAAACCGCTCACACAGAAGTCTGATTGCATTTAATAAGAACAACCCTGTGAGAATTCTCCTTCTGTGGAAATGAGCGACACCGGTCCGAAAACTTTGGGAACCAGATTGGGCTCTGAATTCGCTGGCGCTGTTTTGGTTGTATTTACCCAGAATGCCCTGCGCTGTAGTCCACTTCCCATTTGTGGAGCGGTTTCTGGTCCGCTTGGCGTTCACATATGAATTAAAACTGAACCAGAGTTCACTTCAACTGAACCCAGACTGAGGTTTGGAGGTGGACCAGAGTTAGCTTAGCATTCAGAGTTAGCTTAGCATTCAGAGTTAGCTTAGCGTTCACACCAACCCAACCGGACTTTCTAGGCAAACGGACTGGAGTCGGGTTGAAGCGGATGAAACATGGCTGGTGTGAATGCACCTTTACCGTTCACCAGCTCTCTATCCTCCATCTCCAGCACTAAATGTTCCTCTCTTCTGACTTGGTGGTTTAAATATCGACAGTAAGCTCATTTTCGGACGATGAGCCGCGCGGTGCGTTCGTAATCAGCTGCATCACCAGAAATGTTTCCTGTTTGAAGTTTCCCAGCATCGAGTCTCTGACAGCGCCGTCAGATTCCCAGCATTTTATCTGAGATCTGCGCTTCGTGTTGTTAGTTTCTGTGAAACCCGAGCGCCACAGAGAGCGGAGCCGCCCACCCGGATAAGTCCGGGTAAACACAGTTTCTGAAATCTGAGCAGACAGACCGGACCCGGCCGGACCGCTGCGGCGTTTTGTTACTGCCACAGTCTGGAGGAGGAAGTCCAGAAACACAGTTTCATTAAAAAGTTTCTGTTTGCAGCTCAATTCAGCTAAATCTGTCAGTTAATAATCAATTAATAACCACACAAAACAACTCAATGATTTCCATTTTCAGGATTTACATTTTCTCTCTTTTTACCAAAACTGGATGATAAAAGTCTGTAAAGGCGCGTAAAGTACCAACAACTGTACTGAAGTGAGAGTATTATAAATTATTTTTACTCAGAAGTAAAAAGTAGACATCCAAGAAATTAATCAAGTAGGAGTAAAAAAGTATTTGATAAAAAAGATACTCCAGTAATACTACTACTAATAATAGTAATAATAATTATAAAACTTTATTTAAATTGCACGTTTTAAAGCAAAAGCTTCACATAATAATAAAAATATTATTTAAACATCAAAATGACGCAGAAAGTAAAAGTTCTGAGTAACATATTTTAAAAAAAAACAATCATATAATATTTAAAAATTACAACATTAATCAGACCAAAATACAAAATCGTGGATTTTTTATTTTTGGACCAAAAAGAAAATTATTCTTGTGAATAAAATTACAAAAAAATCAATTTCTTTTATTTTAACACTAACAAAAACTGCAGCTGTGTTTCTGTTTCTTAAACATGTTTGTTTTTCATTCAGTGAAATTACTCAACATAATAAAATTACTTAAGTAAAACTAAAATGTACAGCGTACTAAAATACTACTGAAAGTTTTCTTGCAGTAGTTAATATATTTATTCTCCTCTAATGAAAGTTCTGCTCATTCATGTTTGTATTTTTCTTTGGATGAAACTGATTTTGTTTTGTATGAAATTCAGCTGATTCTGATTATTCTGTTATTACCATTATATTAAACTGTCTCAAAACTACAATATTATCGTTTATCACTTCTGGGATGATTTATCGTCCAGTAAATCAGTTATCGTATTTTTAGTTTCTGTTGTTTCTTTAATCCTGACTGCCTGTCTCTCCACTTCCTGTCCCTCCACATCCTGTCTCCCACTTCCTGTCCCTCCACATCCTGTCTCCCACTTCCTGTCCCTCCACATCCTGTCTCCCCACTTCCTGTCCCTCCACATTCTGTCCCCCACTTCCTGTCCCTCCACTTCCTGTCAGGTGGTACTACGGGAACATAAACCGCGTGAAAGCAGAGAAGCTGCTGCTCGCCTCCCAAAACAAAGATGGCGCCTTCCTAGTTCGCATCAGTGAGAGTCACAGCGACGAGTACACGGTGTCTGGTGAGAGGCTGACTCAGCATTTCCTCAGCATTCATTACTCAACAGATTTACGTTTTACCTTCAGCTTCAGTTTCAAGCTGCTGGTTAGAAATTATTGGTACTTTTTGTTGCTGAGTCACATTCATCACAATAAAAGCTTCCACCGTTAGGTTTTAGAATATTTTTTTTTATGTTTCATATTATTTTATTTTGATTTTTATCAATATTTATTTTATATGATTTATATTTTAAATTTGTTTTATTTTACTAAATTTACATAATTTTATTAAATACTTTCTATTTATTTGCATCTACTTTATTTCAATTCTTTAGCCAGTTTGTATTGTTTTTAAGTGAAATTTAAATTTATATAAAATTGTATTTTTTTTATACTTCTAACATTATTACTTTTGCTGTGTTTTATTATGAATATTTGATTTTTAAATAATACAGAGATACTTGGCAGGAATTTACATTCATCTTTATGAAATGTAAACAAATCTTATAGGGTAAACTTACAGATTTCTTAGTTTCGAAATTTAAAGATTTTTAGTTTCCCTTATTACTTTATTTTTGAATAAAAGTAATAAATACTTTATTCAAAAACAAAAGTATTTTTGAATTTGAAAATTCCTGAGATTAATCTTAAAACTTCACAATTTTTTTGGCCAATTTTAAATCTTTCATTTTTGTTATAGAACATTTCTGAGATTATTCTCAGAATTTGAATTTTTATAGGAAATTTTACATTTTTCAAACTCAGAAATATCCTTGTTTTTCTAAAAAAAAAAAAAAAAAAAAAAAAAAATTGTATTCTTTAAATTTTCAGTTTTTTGTT